AAGAACAATTAGAGACTCAAGAACAATTATAGACTCAAGAACAATTATAGACTCAAGAACAATTAGAGATTGATAACAAACTCCAGCCAAGAATGACACTTAAAAATTAAATAATGGAATTGTTGAGCAGAGAGAGGAGTAAGACAAGAAAAAGATGTCAAGGGAGCAACATTTCTTTTTAAAAAAGCATTGATATTACAGAACTAAGTGCACAAAACATATTAATTTTCCATCCTTTTATTGAAAACTATACAGGTATGACCAAACATAATGACACTTTTTAATATCCTATTACAAAACCCATTTTTATTATTCATATATGTACAAATGGAGGAAAATCTATGAGCCATGGAGCAATGATTGTCTACAAAACTGAGCCTGAATTTCTTTTTTTCCACAGATTATGACATATGACGAGATTTCCAATTTTGACATTTAAAAAACAATTTCTATTTGTCTTCCCTTTCAGCTTGCAGTGGACAATGATCCAGTAAAAATAGTCCCTTGCGATTTTTCGTGTCTTTTAGAGATGAAAAACGTCCTATTAATTTGCTATAATTAGATTCACTCATGCTTTATTCCATCTCATATATTCTGGAGAGGAGTTACAGTCAGCAAGCATCCCCATTTCTAATTCTGAGCTAGTGTACAAGCCTGGCTCAAACACAGTGGGGTTTAGCTTTTTAATATAAATATATCAACGTGTAACAAATCAAAACAAAAAAGATAAATTCTCCTGTACAAATCAGAAGAGATAACATTTATAATCTAGCATTGCTGTCATTTTAACCCTTCATATCAAAAAAAAGTTAAGCAACGCTCATAATCCAGTTGCTTTGTGTGTTTTCCATGGGAATTCAGATGAAACTGCACCACTTAAGAAGAGGCAAAGTAAGACTCTTAAAAAATGGTTTCGTATTTACATTCCAGCCCACCCCTCCCTCCAACCAATCCCAAAACTGTCCCGTTTACGTAAAAAAATCAGTGCATTGTTTGAAGGGGGTGTAACTAAGAGTTCATACTGTCGTTGGAGTTACCGTACATGTCTGCCAGCTTTTTGAAACGGGGTCCCCAGTCACTAAGGTAATCGTAATTCTGGTCCGATGCTGAGGTGATGGACTCTAAGGAGCTGAGTGACTCTGCAATTGAGCCATTCCCCTCGAACGCGTATGTCTGGAGAGAGTCATATGGAGGAGCACAGGGATCTGTGTCAGCACCTTTCATCCTCTCCCAGATAAATTCTCTGAAGATGATGTTGTCAGGAGACAGCTTGTGTGTGGCTTTCGAAAACAGCTGAATTTCGGGCGTGATGTCCCGTCGCGTTTTCACGTCCTGAATGAAATTGAGATTCCTCAGCGTGGCCATGTCAAAAGCTTCTGTGTCCTCCTCGCCGCCCCCCTCATCATCGTACCTGACTATATTCTCCCTAATGTCCTTCTCCTCGTCAAATATCAAAGGCTCCCTCTTGCGCCTCCTCAGTGTAACAATGAGCAGCACCAGCACTGCAACACAAAAAGAAGAATATTCAAAAGCTGCTTCGCTGAGGTAAAATGTACAGGAACATAGAAACAAGGCCATTCAGCCCCTTGAGCCTATCTGTCATGGCTAATCTCTAATATTAACTTCATCGTCCTGCCTTAACCCGTCACATAAGGGGTCACAGACTTAAAACAGAGATGACGGGTAATCACTTCTCTCAAACGGGTTGTGAATCTGTGGAATTCACAGTACAGCAGACGCCAGGAAATTGAATAAATCTAAGGAGCAGTTAAACAGATTCATAACATAGTAATGGGCTGAAGGGTTACGTGGAGCGGTTAGGAAAGTGGAGTTGAGGCTGAGATGAGATCAGCCATGATTATATTGAATGGCAGAGCAGGTTCGAGGGGCTGAATGGCCTACTCCTGCTCCTGGTTCTTATGGTCATAAATCATTGCTGAACAAATCAAACAAATTTGAAATTTTCAATTGATCACCAGCCTCAACAGCTTTTTCTCTCCGGGTTGGGGGTGGGGGGTGGGGGGGGGGGGTGGGGGTGGTAAGTGTGAGAGTTGCAATTGGGGAGAAATGCTTCCTGGCATCACGGCTGAACTTTAAATACAAGTCTAATCAAAATGAAACAAGTGGTGTTCTGAGTGAAAGTGAAGTGATTCTCAAAATCCACTCAGTTAGAGACAGAGGGCAGTCACCTAGGTTTCTCACTTCCGTTCATTGGACAGTGATTTCGAAAAGAAGCTGGACACATTTTGGGAATGATCTGACTTCCCACTGGAAAACACAAGCACAAAATGTACAGGTAAGCTCAGGTAAAGTCCTTGTAATTTTCCTCTTTAGTCTTAGAGCAGTTGAGATGGCAGTTAGGGTAGGGGCATGCTCGTCCTGCAGGATGTGGGAGCTCAGGGAGACTTCCATCATCTGATGACTACACCTGTGGGAAGGGCACCCAGCTGTAGCTCCTGGGAGACCATTTTAGGGAGCTGGAGCTGGAGCTGGAGCTGGACATGCTCAGGATCATCCGAGATGCCAAGTGCATCACAGATAAGAGTTTTAGTGACGTGGTCACACCTAAGGTGCAAGCAGAGAGTAGCTGGGTAACCACCAGGAAGGGCAAAGGGAGTAGGCAGAGAGTTCAGGAATCCCCTGTGGCCATTCCCCTTGAAAACAAGCATGCTGTTTTGGATACTGTTGGTGGGGAATGACTGTTCAGGGGAAAGCAGCAGTAGCCAAGTCAGTGGCACTGTGACTGGCCCTGGGGCACAACAGGAAAGGGGAAAGGTAATCAGGACATTAGTGATAGGAGACTCAATAGTTAGAGGGTCAGACAGGAGATTCTGTGGCTGCAAATGATAATCCAGGATGGTGTGTTGCTTCCCAGGTGCCTGGGACCAGGATGTCTCAGAACAGCTGCAGAACATTCTCAAGAGGAAGGGTGAGCAGCAAGAAATCATTGCGCATGTTGGCACAAATGACATGGGTAGAAATAGGGATGAGGTCCTGCAGAGTGTTTATAGGAAAAAAGTTAAAAACCAAGACCTCGACCATGATAATCTCCACATTACTTCCAATGTCATGTGTTAGTGAGGGTAAGAACAGGAGGATATGGCAGATGAATGTGTGGCTAAAGAATTGGTGCAGGGGCAGGGACTCAGATTCCTGGGTCATTGGGATCTTTTCTGGGGCAGAAGTGACCTGTTCAAGAGGGACGGGCTGCACCTGAACTGGGGGCGGAGGGGGATCAAATATCCTGGCGGACAGATTAGTTAGTGCTACAAGGGAGGGTTTAAACTAGACTGGCAGGGGCGTGGGATCCTCAACAGCAGGGAGACAAGTGCGAGGCTGGAAGGAGATACAGTATCAGAAAAAGCGAGTTGAAGAGACAGGTCAGGCTGGAACAGGACAGGGAGTGAGAAATGCCTCTTGGATTAAGTCGCATCTATTTCAATGCAAAGGGCTGACAGGTAAGGCCAATGAACTCAGGGAATGGATAGATACATGGGACTGGGGTATTATAGCCAGGAGATGGGTGAGGTCCTCAATGAATATTTTCCTCTGTGTTTACCATGGAGAAAGACATGAAGACTTGGGAACTTGGGGAAGTTAGTGGTGATATCTTGGGACAGTCCATATCACAGTAGAGGAGGTGCTGGAAGTATTAGAATGTATGAAGGTGGATAAATCTCCTGGTCCTGACCAGATATATCCATGAACCCTGCAAGAGGCTAGAGAAGAAATTGCGGGGCCCTGGCTGATATATTTGCATCATCGTTAGCAATAGGTGAAGTCCTGGAAGACTGGAGGGTAGTGAATGTTGTGCCCTTATTGAAGAAGGGCTGCAAAGAAAAACCTGGGAATTATAGACCACTAAGCCTAACATCTGTGGTAGGTAAGTTACTTGAGAAGATTCTGAGGGATAAGATATATATGCATTTGGAAAGACAGGGTTTGATTGGGAGTAGTCAGCATGGCTTTGTGCTTGAGAGATCATGCCTCACAAATTTGTTAGAGTTCTTTGATGAAGTGATCAGGAAGGTTGATCAGGGCAGGGCGGTAGATGTAGTCTATTGATTTCAGTAAGGCCTTTGATAAGGTTCCATGTGGTATGTTGCTCTTGAAGGTTAAATCACATGGAATCCAGGGAGACCTTGCAAATTAGATACACAATTGGCATGATGGTAGGAGGCAGACTGTAATAGTGGAAGGATGCTTATTGGACTGGAGGCTTGTGACTAGAGGTGTGTGTCAGGGGTCAGTGCTGGGCTCATTGCTGCTTGTTATCTATTTCAATGACTTGGATGAGAATGTACAAGGCACAATAAGTAAGTTTGTGGATGACACTGAAATAGGTGATATCATGGACAGTGAAGAAGGTTATCAGAAATTGTAGCAGAATCTTAATCAGCTGGGGAAGTGGGCTGAGAAATGGCAAATGGAGTTTAATATAGATAAATGTGAGGTGTTGCATTTTGGAAAGTCAAATTAAGGCAGGAGTTTCATGGTGAATGGTAGGGCCTTAGGGAGTGTAGTGGAACAGAAGGACCTTGGAGTTCAGGTGCAAGGTTCTCTGAAAGTGGAGTCACAGGTAGACAGGGCAGTGAAGAAGGCTTTTGGCACACTGGCCTTCATCAGTCAGGGCATTGAGTATAAAAGTTGGGAAGTTATGTTGCAGTTCTACAGGATGTTGGTACGGCCACACGTGGAGTATTGTGTTCAGTTTTGGTCACTTTGCTGTTGGAAGGATATTATTAAACTGGAAAGAGTGTAGAAGAAATTTACAAGGATGTTGCCAGGACTCAACGGACTGAGTTATAGGGAGAGATTGGACAAGCTGGGACTTTTTTCTTTAGAGCGTAGGAGATGGAGGGGGGATCTCATAGAAGTGTACAAGATCATGAGAGGCTTGGATAAGATAAATGCATTCAGTCTTTTTCCCTGGATTGGACTAGAGAGCATTTCTTTAAGGTAAGAGGGGAAAGAATACATGGGAATCTGAGGGACAACGTTTTTTACACAGAGGGTGGTATGGATATGGAATGAGCTGCCAGCGGAAGTGGTTGAGGTGGGTACATTAACGACATTGTAACAGGTATTTGGACGAATACATGGATAGGAAAGGTTTAGAAGGATATGGGCCAAGTGCAGGGAAATGGGGTTGGCGTAGATTGACGTTTTGGTCGGCACGGACCAGTTTGAGCCAAAGGGCCTGTCTCCATGCTGTAGGACTCTATGGCTCAAATTAACTATCAGCAAGGGCAGTCTTTACCTGGTGCTGGATAATGTGCATTTTGCATCCATGAGAGGGGACTGAGGTAATCATACCTTGCTTCTCTCATTCACGGTTTGATACCTGGCTCACCACACGATGAAAATGAAGTGATTCAGAATGTAGTGGCAATCACACATTACACAGAATTCCAGCTGACAGCTCATGCATTGTGCTTTCTCATTGAATATCTGTTCACAAAGTGAGTCCAGGATGGCCTGTGAGCTCTACACAGAGGTCACAGAGGCTGGGTTTGTACTTCCTTCAGCACGGAAGATTAAGGAGTGATCTTATTGACATGCTTATGATGAAGAAAGGTATTGCTAGATCGTGAGAAAGCATTTCCTCTGGAGGTGAATTCCAGAAGTGACGGAACATGACCATATTCACTGGCAATTGTTCTCACAAAGCAGAATGGATATCTAGAACTCTTTGCAAAAATTTGATTTCAAGGTACGGTGGCTCAGTTGTCAGCACTGCTGCCTCACAGCACATGGACATGGGTTCAATTCCGGCCTCGGCGACTATCTGTGTGGAGTTTGCACATTCTGTGTGGATTTCCCCCAGGTGCTCCTGTTTCTTCCCACAGTCCAGAGATATGCAGGATAGGTGGAAAATGCAGAGTTATAGAAACAGGGTACGGCAGTGTGTTTGACTGGGAAGCTCTTCAGAGTGTGGACTGATGGGTGAATGGCCTACTTCCACACTGTAGGGATTCTATGATACAAAACTGGGTTTCATAGACATTGGTTCAGCCAGAGTACTAAGGTACATGGATCCAAGGTGGGTAAATGGACTTAAAATACAAATCAGCAAAGATCTCATTGAATTAAGCAACAGCTCGAGAGGATGAATTACCTATTGCAATTTTTGGAATTGCTTAATGTATTTTTCATTGATTGAAACTGAGCATTGAAATAACTTTCCTGTTGTCAGATGCCATTTCAATCCTACAGAAGATAGGTTTCCTTCATATGTCTGCCTGATAATCTGTGCACATAACAAACAGCTCACTGTACAGTGTCAGTTTATTAAGCCAACCTGAAGTCCTCAACATTTCGGGATGTAACTTTCCCACTGGTTGTGCAGACTCCACACGAGAATCTCAGAAGTGTTACAATGTAGAAATAGAATATTTGGCCCATCTTGCCTGAACCGGCTTGTTTAATGAGCATCATTATCCAGTACCTATCTCCTGCTTTTCCTCCATACACATTATACCTTTCTTTCTTGCTAGTACTATTTTATTCATTACTGAAAGGAAGTTCATAGATTTTACAATTCCTTTCATTCCTTTTGGATAATTTTTTTGATTTGATTTGATTTATTGTTGTCACACATACCTAGGTACGGTGAAAAGTTTTGTTTTGCATGCAATGCAGGCAGATCATTTCATACAAAGTGCATCAAGGTAATAGAACAGAGCGAGGAATACAGTATTATGGCTGCAGAGAAGGTGCATAGAGAGTGAGGTCAACATTACATTTGAAATTTGAGAGGCCCATTCTGAAGTCTAATAACAGCGGGGAAGAAGCTGTTCTTGAATCTGTTGCTACGTGTGCACAGACTACCAGGCAGACATATGAACGAAATCTATCTTGTGTTGGACTAAAGCTGTGTATAGCAACAGGAAGGTTTGCTGCTATCTCTTTTGGGGCACTTGGTGGTTCATTTAACCAATTTGCTACATTTTTTCTTCAGCTGTTCATTTGTCACTTTTGTTAAGCATAGAACTGGGAAGTTAGGAATATAGGTGCAGGCCATTCAGCCCTGCAAGACTGCTCCTCCATTCTAGATCAAGGCTGAACATCCACCTCAACACCAATTACCAGGGGTCACATTAAGAGAAGAATTTGAGGAGGCACGAACAAAAAAAATTTGCCTCAGAGGATGGTGCGTACCTGGAATCCGTGGTCCATTTTTCTGGTGGAGACAAAAACCCTTCATTCATTTAAAAGGAACCTGGATCTGCTCCTAAATCCTTGGATCATGCAAGGGGGTGTGGGAAGTGGCAGTAGAATTGGCGACTAGCCTATTCAGCCAGCACAGGCACAGTGGGCCGAATGGCCTCTTTCTGTGCCATAATGCTCTATGGTTCTATATGAGATCTAATTCTATTTGCAAGCTACCATTGCATCTGGCTTTGAAGCCAGAGAACTCCAGATCAGAACGATTTGCTGCATTCAAACGTTTTTCTCGGCTCCTCTCTGCAAATTATTTTAAAACTATGGCCTTTATATAACCATCCTCTGATCAGTTTCACCCAATCTTATCTTATCACTCAGACTTTCTCCATTGAGGTCTGATATACCTTCATGTTTGGCTTCTTTTTGTGATTCTGGTCTTTCTCTAATCTCGTCAAGGCGCCTCCAGTATCTGAGATAACAAAGTGTAGAGCTGGATGAACACAGCAGGCCAAGCAGCATCAGAGGAGCAGGAAGGCTGACATTTCGGGTCTGGACCCATCCAGCTCTACACCTTGTTATCTCAGATTCTCCAGCATCGGCAGTTCCTATTATCTCCTCCTCCAGTATCTGTTGTTCTTCTCGCTGTACTTTAAAACTTTAAGGTGTGTGCAAAAGACAGTCTTTTGATTCATTTGTAAAATAGACACTTGGAAGTTATCGTGCACATATTCCAATCGAATATTTGTAACCAGAATTGCTGATGGTGTCATTGGCCTTGCCTTCTGTATACTCTGAGCAAAGTCCTTTGCAATAAAATTCCTGCATCCACATGAGCTCAGGTTAAGCTGGAGTCTGAGACCTTTCCACTCTTAAGATCATATGCTATGATACAATGATGATATTAGGAGCATGTCTCTTAAAACTATATTGCACACTAGCTGAGAGGCAACAAGGTGCAGGGCTGGATGAACACAGCAGGCCAAGCAGCATCATAGGAGCAGAAAGGCTGACGTTTCGGGCCTAGACCCAGAGGCATCAGTGTGACACAAAAATTGCGAAAAGGTTTTGCTATTACCTTCTCCTTCACATTCCCGCGAACGTAGCTTGTCTCAGAAATGGTTAGCATGACAACAACCATGGACTGTTGTAAAAGCTCATCTGGTTCACTAATAGTCTTTGGGGAAGGAAAGCTGCTGTTCCTCTCTGGTCTGGTCTACATGTGACTCCAGACCCACAGCAGTGTGGCTGACTCTTAACTGGAATGGCCCGCAAACCACTCAGCTCAAGGGGTAGGATGGGTAATAAATGTTGGCCTTGCCACATCCCGTGAAATATCACAGAATTGTTATGGTGCAGGAACGGGCCACTCAGCCCATCATGCCTGCTCCACTCGTCAAGCTGTGTCATCATTACTTAGTGCCAACCTCCTGCTCTTTCTCCCGTACTCTCACACACTATTTCTGTCCATATAATCACCCAATTGCCTTGAATACCTCAACCGAACCTGCAACCACCGCATTTCCAGGCACTGCATTCCACACCCTAATTATTCACAGTGTGTAAAACGTCAACCATTGTATTGAAATATATTCCATTACAATAAAGCCTGTGCAAGGCAAATTATCATTAAGAGTTACACAGCATGACATCGGCCCCACATTCTGCTTGAGCAGAGCATCTCACTGTTTGTCAGACCATACACCTCCCCTTACAAGCGGAAGCATGAGATGATATTGGTGCGTCTGGGCACCTCCAAATAAAAATTCCCGTTTCGAAATGGACAGTGCCAGGACAAAACCATTGAAGACACAGCCACGTACCTAAAAGTGTCAGAACACAGGCCAGTATGGCAATGAGCGCTCCAGTGCTGAGGCCAGCAGGTAGGACGAAGGCTTCAGCGTTGCAAGATTGAGCGATGCCGTCATCATCACAAGTACAGACTCGGACTGTGAGGGTATTGGTGCTGCTCAACGGTGGGGTCCCATTGTCCACTATCACAATTGGCAGGAAGTAAACAGCCTGTTCCTGCCGATTGAATCCAGCTCGCCGAGTCAGAATCGTGGCTGTGTTATCTAGATGTGTTTTCAGAAAATAATCACACTATATTTATATACAAATCCACAGAATTATGCATAACAAAGAAATGTAGCCCAACCTATAAGTCCATGTCAGTGTTTTATAAAGTATTCATTGAAAGGATCCAGGCCTCAATAGCTGGGCCAATGTTTATTGTCCATCCTTAATTGTGAAGGTGGTAGTGAGCTATATTGCCTAATAATTTCATTTTTTTTTCAACATGGTCCATGTGTGGTAACAACTTCCACAAACTGGAGGTCATTGCTGGGAGCAGAATTGGCATGTCAAACATTGGCATGTATGGACCCTGAAATGAGCCATCCAGCTTCCTGGGCATGTTGGTGGTGAGCTGCCTTCTTGAACTGCTGTGATCTATTTGGCACAGACAGGGCCATTAGGGAGGAGGTTCCAGAGGCTGAGAGACAATGAAGGAATGTCAATACAGTTCCAAGTTAGGATGGTGAGTGGCTCAGAGGGGAACTTGCAAGTGGCAGTCTTTCCATGTATCTGCTGCCCTTGCCCTTTGAGATGGTAGAGGTCGTGGTTTGGAAAGTTCTGTCAAAGGTGTCTTGGTGAATCTCCCAGCCAGAGCCGGGGCTGCAGGAGGTGAAATGAGTGGGGTTTACAGTAAGGTCCAATACCAAGGACCTGAGGCCCTAAGGGGAGCTTCATAACACTCAGACTGAGGGAGGGATCATTGTGCTCAGTTTGGGAATGGGGCTGAAGGTGGGAGACCCTGGTCTAGAGCAGCTCTTGGCCAAATGAATTCTCTCTGCCCCTGGTTCACACCCTATGTCAAGGTCCATCAACACAACCTAGTAGTGCTTCCTCAGCCATTAAGGTATCCACTGGGGAATCAAAAGAGGCATGGCACAGTGGCTCAGTGGTTAGCACTGCTACCTGACAGCACTAGGGACCTAGGTTCAATTCTACCATCAGGTGACTGTCTGTGCAGACTTTACATCCTGTGTCCACATGGGTCTCCTCCCACAGTCCAGAGATGTGTAGGTTAGGTGCATTGGTTGTGCTAAATTGCCCATGGTGTCCTGGGATGTGCAAGCTAGGTTGATTAGTCATGGGAAATGCAGGGTTACAGGGATAGAAAGGGGGTGGGTCAGAGTGGGATGCCTTTCAGAGAATCAATGTGTTCCCAATGGGTTGAATGGCCTGCTTCCATACTTTAGTGATTCTATGATTCCTTTCCCTGAGTATCTTTAGAACATGAAACTTATTGCTACATAGAGTGAGGCAAATAGCATCCATTCACTTAATGAAACATTAGGCGAGGGGGCATAGCACCTCTGGGTTATATAAATAATCGGTTGTGTTTTTGTATTTGTGCGATGAACAATATGTCCTATAATATACAAGTATAGGTGACCCTTTGCTTAATGTAATATATCCTTCAGTGCTATAGCCATTTGGCACTCCTGCTGCATGTGATTTATTCAGACAAAAATCAATGCTATTGTAAATTTCCACTTTCTTCTCACTTGTTTGACTCTAACTAGGCAGCGCAAAATGTGTCTTTGCGATTCTTTCTCATTCGGCAGCTGGACATGCCCTTGAGTATATTACAGCTTAATTACGAGCAGCACAGTGCCCTCCATTAGCTGGTGACATGAGGATGTATTGTGCGGGTGTCACAGGTCTCGAGTGCATTTGCACTTTGGTTGATCAGCTTCGCAATGAACAACATGTTTGTGTTGAAAAGTCATTAGCAGAGCAAAAAAAAATGCATTTTTGTCATGCTGTCATATCACAATGTAAAATGCGTGACATCAAAAATAGGTCAGTTCGCTTTCCATGTCTTCTCAACCCAATTTGCTGGAGAATCAAACACTGAGGCTTATTTTTCCTAACTGTCTTGCACAAGTTGTCTCTTTTTTGTACATGTTAATTTCTGTTAAGTCACCTCTACTTGCCTGATGTCACATCATAACCCCCTAGGCAAGTTGTGCAGGAACTGATGGGCTGTGGAAATTTCAGACAGAGACGCTATGCGCTGATCGGATTAAGAGAGATAAACATCACATCTGAAAAAGTTTGCCGCATTAAGTGAGTTATTTCGGTGTCGTAATGATCCAATAGCACTGCATCCAATCTGGCAGTTCGTTCAAATTTATAAATAATCACGAGGACAATTAATTTAGAATGGATCCGTTCCAAACAATTGGCAAATTGGAAACGCTATCTCTGCTTCTCTCTCCAAAGGTACCGGCACGCTTTCCACCACTTTCTGTTTTTAGTTTCAAATCTGCAGCATCTGCAGTACTTTGTTTTTATTCTAGAATTAATATCCAGCTGAAGAAATGGCTCACATTTTGCTAAACATGCAAGAGAAAGGTCACAAGCAGCAAAACTCTGACTGACCTGAGGAACGATCAAGCAGAATAGAAATAGTTACCTCTGTTATCTTGCACTGTGAAATTCAGGTTATTGGCTGACCCAGCAGCAAGGGAAAAATAGAAGTGGTGTCCGCTGGGTGGTTTATCTCTGTCCACTGCACTGATTCTCTGAATTATCTGTAATTGCAGTTAAAGATTAGATTTGATTTCCAGCCCAAAGCATGACTGAAAAGAACTTGACCACTCCAGCACAAATTTCGAAGGTCGAGATATTTGCATGAGACAAATAGACATGTCCAAGACTTTGTGAAGAGCCATGCATCATGTAAGACGACGACACGAGGAAACGGGGAAAGGGGGAATTGTTTTGTCATTCACAGAATAACAGAGTTGTTACAGTGCAGAAAGAGGCTGTTTGGCCCATCATATCTGCACTCGTGGTATTGCCCAGTGCCAAACTCCTGCCTTTTCCTATATGCTGGTGCTTGACTTCAATCCAAATAAATATCTAACGCCCCTCTTGAATGGCTCAATTAAACCTGCCTCCACCATATTCCCAGGCAGTACATTTCATACCCTGACTATTCACTGTGTGAAAGGTTTTTTTTCTCTTAGATCACCCTTGCTTTATTTGCACATCACTTTAAATCTATGCCCTCTCATTCCTTTTTTTTTTCACAATGGGAACAGCTTCTCCCTATCTGCTCTGTCCAGGCCACTCCTGATTTTGAAAACGCTTTACCAGATCTCCTCTTGGCCTTCTTCTCTCCAAGGAGAACGGTCCCGAATTCTTCAATCTATCCTCATGTTAAAGTTTCTCTTTCCTGGAACCATTGTCGTGAATCGCTTCTATACACTTTCCAATGTGTTTGTGTGCTTTCTATAATGTAGCACCCACACCTGTACACCATTCTCCAGCTTAGGTCAAACAAGTGTCTTACACAAGTTCAACTTAATTTCCCTGCTCTTGTACTCTGTGGCCCATTTAGTAAGGCCAAGTACACTTTTTGTTTTCAATAACTCTTCTCTCCACCTGTCTTGCCACTTTTAATGATCTGTGCACAAGAACACCCCCTTTAGAATTATGCCTCCTATTTTGCATTACTTTTCAATTTCCTTCTGACCAAAGTGTATCACATCACACTTCTACACATTGAACTTCGCCTGTCACCTGTCCAGCAACTTCACTAACTTGCCAATGTCCTTTTGGAGTTGTACATTGTCCTCCTCACAGTTTACAGATCTTCCAAGTTTCATGTCATTTGCAAGTTTGAAATTGCTCCCTATATACTGAGATCTAGATCATTAATGTATACTAGGAAAAGGAATGCTCCCAATACTGACCCCTGGGGAGCTCCACTACAATTATTCCTCCAGCCTAAAATATCCATTGACCATTGCTCTCTGATTTCTATTACTCAGCCAATGCTTCCTGTCATGTCATATGCAATCTGATGAGCTTGGGGTTTATTGTTCCATTTACTTGTTGAGGAAAGACTCTATATAGCTTCTCTCTATCTCCATCCACCCTAACCTCCCAGAAAAGGACGTCCACATCATACTTCAAGATGGCAATGGGTTTATACTCATTATTGACCTGTGCCTTAACATCTGATAGTATTAAAACAGAATCACACAATCAGGTTATGATCAACACTTCCTCTAAGCTCCACTCGTCCTGCTCTGGCTTATTGATGTCCTGCAGGAGGACTTAGCATGTTTCCATTCCTCACGGAACTGCTCATTGAAGAACTCTGCAAAGTGACACAGGGCAACATCATCATGGTTAAAGTAAGAGAACACGGCGAGGTAAACACAGGAGGAAGGTTAGCCATCCAGAATCTACAGGGAGACAAACAGATCATGCGGAAGGAGTGTTCCCTCTGAGCTATGCTGCCATGTGGAAATCTTAAAGGGACCTGTGAATGCAACACCCTAGGGGTGCACAGAGCAAAGGAGGCAGTGTTCGAGATTGAGGGATAATTCCTCCTGTTCAAGGTTGTGGAATTGCTGGACATGTTGCCCCCTTGAGAATCTGAGCTCTCTAGTCCTTACTGAATAACTTACAATCTTACAGCTCTAGGCTCTTGGTAGGCCACAACAGCTTGCATTTACATGGTGCCTTCAAAATTAAAATGTCCCAAAGGCGCTTCACAGCAGTTGTATCAAAACCTGGCACTGAGCCATGGAAGGCAATGTGACTACAGGAGAGCAAAAGCTTGATCACACTAGTGTGTTGTTAGAGGGAGGAAGAGATGTCAAGGTAGAGAGATTTAGGGAGAGAATTCAGAGTATCCCAGAGGGATGTTGGATAGGATAATGGAGACAATGTGAAAAGAAGACATTTGAAATCAATGATAGCATTTAAAAGTTAAGCTGCTGCTGATATAAGTCATTGATCATAGATCGGGCTGTAGGGGAAAAAGGGATTTAATACAAGCTAGGGTACTGGCAGGAAAGATTTAGATTACAGACTGCGTAAGGTGGGAAATATATCTCAAGTCCCAATGAAAAGTGAAAATGTTCCATCTCTGATAATAACTGTGATGCATTATCTCTCCCCATCCTCCTCGATTCTCTTGCCCTTGTTCACACAATCAACCACAACATCACACTCCAATGCTGTTCTTCCACTGTTTTGGAAAGTAGGACAACTCTTGCTTGGCTCCTTTCTGATTTACCCATTCTTTCAAGTTAGGTAAAATCCAGACAACAATCATTTGGGCTGATAAATGTCTAGTAACATTCACATTGCACAAGATCCAGGCAATGACCATTTCTAACAATGAGAGAATCTAACCATTGCCGCTTGACACTCAATAGCATTACAATCACAGGGTTACCACTGCCCAGAAATTGAACTGGACTAGCTCATAAATACCAGAGGTTACAAGAGCTTGGAATCCAGTGGTAACTCATCTCCTGATTCCTCAAAATCTATCCACCATCTACAAGACACAAGTCAGGAATGTGAAGGAATACTCCCCACTAATAGTCCCTCTAAGTTGTATGACTGAGTGTGTGCAGCTGCTCCAATGCATTGACTTTTGGGTCAGTCAAGCGGGCTGCTTCCTCCTTGATGGTGTCAAACATCTTGAGTATAATTGAAGCTGCACTCATCCAGGCAAGTGGGGAGTATTCCATCACACTCCTGAATTGTGCCTTGTGGAAGGTGGACAGGCTTTGGGGAGACAAGTTGTGAGTTACTTAAAGCAGGATTTCTAGTCTCTGACCTGCTCTTGTAGCCACAGTATTTTAGCAGCTACTTCAGTTCAGTTTCCACTCAGTGGTAACCCCCAGGATGTGAACAGTGAGGGATTTGCTGATGGAAAAGCCATTGAATGTCAAGGAGTAGTGGTTGGATTGTCTCTTATTGAAGACAGTCATTGCCCGACATTTATTCAATGCAAACATTACTTGCACTTTTCAACGAAAGCCTGGATATTGTCCAGGTTTTCTGCATTTGAACATGGATTCTTTCAGTATCTGAGGAGTCAGGAATGGTGCTGAACATTGTGCAATCATCGGTGAACATCCTCATTTCTGTTCTTATGATGGAGGGAAGGTTATTTTTGAAGCAACTGAAAATGGTTGAGCACAGAACACTAGCCTGGAACTGAGATGACTGACCTCCAACAAACACTACTGTCTTCCTATGCTGATGAAGCAGCTGAAGATGGTTGGGCCAAGGACACTACCCTCAGGAACTCCTGCAGAGATGTCCTGGAGTTAAGGTGACTGATTGACTAGCATTACAATCTCAAACACCAAATCCCTTCACTACCAACACTAAGTAGTAACAGAGATAGTAGGAACTGCAGATGCTGGAGAATCCGAGACAACAAGGTGCAGGGCTGGATGAACACAGCAAGCCAAGCAGCATCATAGGAGCAGAGAGGCTGACGTTTCGGGCCTAGACCCTTCATCAGAAAAGGGGGAGGGGAAGGGGGTTCCGAAATAAATAGGGAGAGAGTGGGAGGCGGATAGAAGAGGGATAGAGGAGACGATAGGTGGAGAGGAAACAAACAGGTCGAAGAGGCGGGGATGGAGCCAGTAAAGGTGAGTGTAGGTAGGGAGTTAGGAAAGGGATAGGTCAGTCCAGGGAGGACGGACAGGTCAAGGGGGCGGAATGAGGTTGGTCGGTAGGAGATGGAGGTGCGGCTTGAGATGGTAGGAGGGGATAGGTGGGAGGAAGAACAGGTTAGGGAGGCAGGGACGAGCTGGACTGGTTTTGGGATGCGGTAGGGGGAGGGGAGATTTTGAAACTTGTGAAATCCACATTGATACCATTGGGCTGCAGGGTTCCCAAGCGGAATATGAGTTGCTGTTCCTGCAACCTTCGGGTGGCATCGTTGTGGCACTGCAGGAGGCCCAGGATGGACATGTCCTACCGACCAACCTCATCCCGCCCCCTTGACCTGTCCGTCCTCCCTGGACTGACCTATCCCCTTCCTAACTCCCTACCTACACTCACCTTTACTGGCTCCATCCCCGCCTCTTCGACCTGTTTGTTTCCTCTCCACCCATCCTCTCCTCTATCCCTCTTCTATCCGCCTCCCACTCTCTCCCTATTTATTTTGGAACCCCCTTCCCCTCCCCCTCCCCCTTTTCTGATGAAGGGTCTAGGCCCGAAACGTCAGCCTCTCTGCTCCTATGATGCTGCTTGGCCTGCTGTGTTCATCCAGCCCTGCACTAAGTAGTAACAGTGTGCATATATCTAAGATGCACTGCAGAAATTCACCAAGGCTCCCTGGACAGAATCTTAAAAACCTATGGCCACAACCATCCAGAGAAACGAGGGAAAATACATTGAATGCCACCACTTGCAAGTTTCTCTCCAAATCACTCACCATCTTGATGTGGAAGAAGAATTGGAAGTAGCATGGGGAAACGTTTTATTGACTTGGTGAGTTACAATGCTCTGAAATGAGAGGGAGGCGGAAGTAGTTTGAACAGTACATTGCAAAGAGGGAACTTAAGGAATGCTTGACGGACAGGAATTTGCAAATCTGTGGGGAAACATAGAAGCACAGAAAGATACTGAATAGGAGCACATGTAGGCCATTCAGCCCTTCCAGACTGCCCTGCTATTCAGTATGATCGAAGCTGATTATCTAACTGTTCCTGCTTTGCCCTCTTACTGTTTGATCCCTTTAGAACTAAACCTAATTCCTCCT